ATGTGATTGGGTAGATTTCGTAGTTATTCTTTACGTAGTTGACCAATGTCGAAGTTAAATGAATAAAGGGGGTAAGTTTCTAAAGAAACTGTGGTGCTGCTTCGCGATCGGTGGGGGTAACAAGGTAATTTGGTAGCAGCTTAGTTGATATTACCAATGTAGAAGTTGTCAAGGATCGTTGACTGTGAACTGTTGATCGCTGGTTTGAACTAATGATGAAATATCGTAAAAGTATCTCTGATAACATGTACCTATTACAAGCGTAGAAGTAAATTCTAAATCACAATTGATCATATCTACACTGGTTAAATGTTCTATTCATTATATAAAAAGTGTTCAGTGATCTTACTCCGGTCTCCTTAGGCTTGCTAATTCAGTACTAGAGTAGAGTAGACGTAAGTCAGGTAGCGTCGGTTTTCAGTGTCAAAAGTCTAAGCATTCTACTAAAGCGTGGTCGACAATCTCCCATTTGCACAATAGAATCACACAAGACTATGAGTGATTAAGTGCGTTCATTTTTGAGAACATGTATATGTGTCATCGAATTAATGCTGAATCCTCTATACTAATTAACTAATTTATGTTTGCGGTATGAGCTAACAGCCATAACTTAATTCTATACCATTGATAAACCTCGACATCGCCACAATTATTGTAATTATGAATAAGCCCTGTCTCAGCACGGCCCCATGTGCAGACCATACTTAATCGTTTATTTGACGACACACAAGGGAAATTATAAGCAAAACACACCAATCAATTTAACGTTCTTAGACCACAACCAAGATCTAGTCTTAGAGCTCCACTCTGATTGACGGTGATGGAATAAAGGCTTTAAAATTGGTAGGTATTTAGATTATATCATTTAGCTCTTCAAATTTTGAAGTCTGGTAACTACAATCAATAAAGATGAATCTCAAGAAGGTTTTAAACTGTATTGGAGGACTTAGAGTGCTGGATTCTCGAGTCAGACGTGCAGTGTGCTCATTTCCTTCAACAACTTCATCAGTCATGATAAATATCTCCACAATGAAACGAACGTTATTTACGGACTTTCGAAATATCAATAGCTCAAGATGATTGAACTGTTATTGGATGTTTTGCACTATTTTTTTTCTTAATGTACCAAGATGTATCCCATGGTATTGATGAATTTGTCTCCGTTATCTGGGGAATGATTTGCCACGTTTCCACACGCGTTGGAGTGATCAGGGCGACCTCCTGTGCCAAAACCAATCCTTGAGTCACAGTACAAGCACGAGTCATAGTCATTGTTGACAATACCAATTCTGGCCTTGGAATAGGTTTCATCCTCACAAACTGTATTGAATCCTTCCCTGTCACAGTTTAACTGCAAAGAGGCCTCCAAACCGATTAGCTTCTTCCACGTGTCACGACCTAGTGTTGTGTTGCGGTGTTGCCCGTCAGCGATCAGTGAGTACAGAGAAATGGCTTGCTGTGCGATGACAATGAAATTGAGTTGTTATCCTTTCTTCATACCGAGACAGATCTTCGAGAAGGAAGTGTTCCAGTAGGTGGGTAGCTTTGTTTCCTGTTCATCGAACCCAGTCTCCCCTCCAAGGAGGTTGTACTCTGTATAGTCACTCCAGTAAGGCGCATCATAAAGAAACGTTGTCTGAATTAGAAAAAGAATTCATCTGTTAATATCTTCTCAAAAAACCATAAAAAAGCAGCAAAAGAAACCCCTGCTTTAGCTAACAAAGTAAGAATAATAGCAATAATGATTATAATAATAATTTTGATAAAATCGACATCTGCCTCACAGATTAAGAAGACTTGCACCTTAGTTCCATCAATCTTCAGAATCGGTGTCCATCCTCCATCTCCACATCCAAAGTCTCCCATGTGGCAGAGAACGGAGACTGGTTGAGAGTCAACAAGGAGGGTTACCACGCCACTCATATTTGTTCTTTTAAATTGAAATGAATAATATTAATTATCATATGACCCGTTCGGCCCCGCTCGCGCAATCCCACAAAAAACCATAGTGAAACCTGACGAGTGCAGAGCCGGACGGGTTACGTGAGTGGGTCCGCAAAAAGCCGTCCGGCCCTGCTTCCCATACATCGCTTTGTCGCAAAATCTTAGGGGAAAACAGAAATGAGAAAAAAGGCGCGTTTTCAAGGAATTAGGAGTTTCTCGGTCTAACTGAAAAAATAAAGGAAAAGTTTTTATTTCACAGTTTTTTGTATTCTCGTGTGGCTGCGTGTGCCACACGCAGCCTAGTCCTAGTGGTCCTGTGATAAAATAGTTATTGACTAAGTTTGGTGAGGGCGGACGCGAATTTATCTGGCTGTCGGTCATGAGACACGGACCGAGCGCAGCGAGGTTCGTACGTCATGACCTCGAGCCAAATGTTTTCCCGTCCCCTCTTACTCAGTCTATCAGTATGTATAATCATCTTAACAATGATGACAATAAAATGACTTCAATTTATAAGCCTCCTAGGGCGGAATAATATGAATATATGAATATAGTTTATATCTGAATTACGGGTGCAGTGTAAGGTTGAGAACAGACGTCAGCATATCAGGCGCCTCTGGCAGCCGCTTCAGTC